ACTTAATTCCGTACTACCACGTAGAAAGTCTATAAATCACTAATAAATAAAGAAATCCCTTGAGCACGTGTAACAACTAACACTCGCGAGGGCAGAATCCAATTAAAACATTAGTATCTTTACTCTTTGTTGTAATGACAGTTTCTGTCAGGTGTCATGTCTCCATCTACTGACAGGGGTGAGGGGCGTGTGGAAATGTCATACATCACTGGACCCACAGAAATATATCTAGTTAGAAGGAAAAAGTGTACGTACTTCGCGTGCCGAAACGACGTCTAGACAGCTTCATTGCTCGCCTCGAGGCTCAGTCCACTTTCGATCGCAATCGGTGTTGGACGAAATTTAAAATGATGCGTAGTTCGATAATTACGTGCTCAAACACCACCAATATGGTTGGATCTTATAGTCGAGGTATTTCCTTCCATCGGTAAGTAACTATTTGCCTTGATATATCTATTTTGAATTAAAAATCATTAGTTTTGTTGCTCCGTATTATTTTTATCAAAACGGTCATGTGTCCAGTAATAGCTTTCCATTGCGGCTTTAATTTGACAGAAAAATAAATGGATTGAAGCAACAAGACTCTAAGGCAAATAGTAGGTATACTTACTGGACATGGAAACTTTAACAAACACCTATATAACATGGGTTATTCTGACAGTCCTCTGAGCAGGGCGTGTATGGAGACTGAGGAGACAATCTCCTCAGTCTCCATTCCAGTATCACATAAGCGCTTGTGCACTCATGTGATACTGGTATGCAGGAGCCTATTAAGACAAAAGGACTACATATCTATGAAGCCCAAGGATACTTGTGGAAGCATACGGCAGAGTTCGAGATCTTACGGGCTTCCTGGAGGAGCTGGGGTGGCAGGACTAAAGCAACCCCGTGTCATGCAAAATAGGCACTGAGTATCGAGTTGCAGAAAAGCCCGCCGTGAAACATAACATAACAACACAGGACGTAAAAATGTGTAGCGTGTCGGGAGGGGGTAGCGGCTACTACAAAGTGTTTGCCCACAGAAAAATGCCGATTTCTATTCTATCGCATAAAATCTTTTCTGCGCCGATTCACTAAATTACATTCGTGAGTTCGTGACATACGTAATATTTAAGCAAAATGGTAGTCTGTCTATAAAGTCATGAAAAAAATTGAGGGCGCTGCGATCGTGCACGTAGCAACCCTGTGTAGTGAGACAAATGATTTTGATAGTAGGATTTTTTTTTTACTTTTATTACCCCAGAAAAGGTAAAGAAAGGCGTATAATTCGTAGACAATGAGTTTATTCTACATTGAAGATTACAATATAGTAATCGTAATTTTTGATAAATCTTTTTTTTTTTTTTTTTATAATTGCCAAGTTGTTTTCTCGTTTTTCTGCAATGTGTGCTTGTGTTCGATTAAAACCTGTTACTTTGACACTCCTTGTAAGAAAACCCAATATATTTCAGAATTTAACGCAGAACTTCTAGGCTACAATTAAAATCCAGATCAGTTTTGGCAATCCACTGATGTTTTCTTCATGTAGGTACCTCTTTTTTTCACAGAGTAAAAGAACTAAATCTTTTGTCGAAGTGCACAAATGTTGCAGTTAACAATTTATTTCTTAGGACGACTATCTATGTTTCCCAGGGGTTTCAAATATGCCACCATTTTATAACCTTCATCTACAATACGTATCACTATATTCTCTGATTTTCCTGAAAGTAAGTTTTAAAAATGTAATACCTATATGTATTTGGCAAAAAGAATGGAATCGCCACAATGATCAAATTAATGCTATAATTTTAGTAATATAAAGCACAAACTTTTTATTGGCGTACGTAGGTAAAAATCGTACATTCCTAACAGGTATATTTTTTATTCAGATTAAAATCAATGATAAATTTGATTATCCAAAAGTATTGAAAATTCGGGCCGCACTACAATATAGCCTTCTAACATTTTCAATCTAACCTATAAATGCATAATGTAATCAATACTTCTTTTAGACTTAAATTCATATATTTAGTAAATTTGAAACTTCTGGTAACCAAAACTCAATCAGTAACACAATTACATACCAGCCATAACTGCCGTTCGAGCTTTAACATCCTACAAATATGATAAAATGTGTCCAGCTTCTTGTTCCAATAAACATCACTGAAAAACTATAAATAATATCCTGAGCTTCACTCTGATAAGTTCTCTTCATTTTTAACAATTTTCGACGTAGTTTAGAAGAAGTAGCTTCAGTTTAATCAGAACAAATCAAAAATGCAGAAAATCGAGCTAAAAAATGAAGTTGTTGACAGTCGATATACTTTGATTCAGTGTTGTCATACTTGTGTCTAATGTTAGTTCCTCAAACATTCTTTTCATGACTTTATAGACAGACTTTACACGTTGGTCTCCGTCGATCGATATCGTTATTTCAATCGATAAGAATCGGTATGCTGTTTCAAATACAACATGTATTCGATGCAAGTAAAGTTATGTCTTCCATCACTAAATTAAGATCGTGACGTCATGATACCTACACAAAATGTGGCACGCTCGGTCTCCATATAAATCGACGAACATGTTCCTTCTAACTAGATTTATTTCTGTGACTGGACCCCTACGCGATTGGTTTATTGTACGGAGTTGACGGGCCGTGACACGGATTATACCACTTGTAGGGTTCGAACGATACTTTCGATACCGAGTAGGTATCGATACTTTCAAAAGCGAAACTCGATACTAAGTACTCGATACTACAAAAAGGTAAATACTCGCAAGTACTCATCAAAATTGCTGGTATCGAGTATTCTTGCTAAAGAATATATATTATAGGCGTTTGCATTTGACGTTTCAACTTAAATCTTATACTTTTACTCTTTGGTTTTTATTTTTATACTTTTACCCTTTTGGCTGCCATAAAAATAATGTATGACTGAATTTTATAAATGTATGGAAGTATTGGATCGGTTTTCTTTTAGTTTTTTTCTTTTTGTTTTTTTTTTTCTTTTTCTCTTCTTCCATTTACTTTGAAATGGAAAGGCAAAGGCAATTGATTTTTTTAATAAACTATATTTTCGTTATAGACATTTTTTTTTAATTTTCTTACGTTTCCCAAAAACAAATATTTTGTAACAATTTTTCATACACATTTTACAAATTTTTGTTTGTCTGTCCGTCTGGTAGATTGTTTTTTTTTTAGGATTAGCCTTCTTTAATGATGTCGATAAATACTCGATACTGAGTAGTATCGATACTTTGGGAGTGATACTTTTATGGTATCGATACCATGACCCTCGATACCACATGAGTACTCGGTATCGATACCAGAAGCCGATACTTCGAACCCTAACCACTTGGCTGCGACATATACATGGTTCACACCCATGCCAAAATAATATTTTTTTACATTTTTTATCTGTCTGTTCCAGTTAATCTCTGAAACGGCTGAAACGATTGTTGACGGGACTTTAACTGGCAAAAAGCTTGTGATAAGGAATTACTAAGGCTACTTTCCACACGACGAAATTGCGGGTACAGCTAGTTTAGTTCTACAAATTTTGCATTCACAATGCTGATATGGTAAAATAGGTAAACGTTGTCTGATAATAATCTGAAATCATTACTAAACTTTTTGGGTAAAAATATAATAATCATTGACACGAATCGATTAATCGATGCATATAATAATTGATCGGCATAATAATCGAATCGGCACATAGGTACAGTATCACGAACCAAAAAAGTATAAAATAAATGAAGGCGCCCCTGTTCGTTTAAAGGGCAAGAATTTTCATGGAAATCCATTAATCCATTGTAATGTCATTTTGACAATGAACGGAGTTTCTAGCAAAAATAATTTTAGTTTCCTCATTATTTCGTTTTCTACTCTTGTATCGAACTGTGCATGAATAAATAAAATACTAAGTTTTTAAAGATATTATTAAGTACAATTATTCAATTAATAAATACTTTATTTTATTTTTTCATTTTCATTATTATTATTTGAAGAAAGTATTGATTGAAAAAACATTTTTCAGTATAGCATTGTAATGCGAAATTGATCAAATATAACAATTAGAACATTTCTTGGGTTGGTTTAAAAGAGGCGTTCCTTAATGTCTTTTGTTAAAAGTAATGCGGATACACGTTTCTTCAGGAACCTGTTCCTCGTTTTTGTTTAATTTTATCATACTAATTAGTGGTGGTTAAATTAACGTCCAGCGTGTTTATTAACACGCTTTTGTCTTTTAACAATTAACACTGCTAAGTAGGTATATGTGAAGGCGCTAAGAATTTCACGCATTAACACGATTCACGCGTGAAATTCCAAAACGATTCAACGACCAAACGAATGAACAAAACGAGACCTCGGCCGGCCGCGCACGCGTCATTGCTCGGATGCTCGGAGCACGCTAATGAGGAAGTATTTAAAAAAAAATAGTTCCCGAAGCCTAACTAGATGTCGCCACGGTACGTTCTTGATTTCTCCATGACAACCTTTCCGGTTTTCTTTCATATTTAAAAGTAAATTAGTTTTTAAAACTCAATAAACAACTCATATTCTATTTTCACTTTTTCGTATTTGTATTGATATCTAAGTTTCAAACTTTGCAGATTTCAGTTTTTTAATATTGTAGTTAATAGGAACGGAAATTACTGTCTTTGGCCCATTCGTTTCCTGCAGAAATCAACTTTTGCTAGAGTCGCCATCTAGTGAAGGTGCTTTCGTTTTTTTTAATACTTCCTCATTAGGTAATTATTATGCGCGATTCTGTCTCCTGTGTTTTAACAAAGCTTAATAATTTGATATTTTAAATACTTAAGAATAGATGGTACTTTAGGTGATTATGTGTTATTCTGTGTATGTTTTGAGTAAATAATGTGAATAAAACATAAGATAGCAAATTAACGCCTTCAATAACAGGTTAAAAAAATTATCATTAATCTTTAGCGCGTTAATTTAGTCGTTTGGATACTGATTCTAGTGACAGCAGCTGTAGTTTGCGAATGACAGTGACAGACAAGCGGCTAATTTATGGTGCCTTCACGCGTATTGTTTATATTAGAGAAATATAAATCATTATTAAAATAAAAGTTTATTATATAAATTCAAACACAATATTCGTAACTATGTCACAACCAGATATTTCCTGTGGGTTGGAATTTTCAATAACTTCCGATTTACAAGCATGTCTCACACAAGCGCTGCATTCAAATTTTTCGTTCATAGTAGCGCCTATAGTACATCCACGTTTCCGTCGTCAACATGTTTTGAACTCTGGAAAGGTTGGCGGCTTCACTAGGTCTGATATGATACTGTCACCTCAAGATTGGACTTCGCGATTGGTTGGAAAAGTATCTCCGTATCTTAATGTGGACTCTGAGGTATCTTTAGTCAGGCAACGTCATGAAGATTGCTTGAATGAAGAATTATCTTATTGCCGGGGTTTAGGTTTACCTGCAATAATGCTGTCTTTAACTAGTCAAAAAACGAACAATTTGGCCAGAATCATACAATCTTATTACGAGAATTGGTGTGTACGCATCGAGTAATAACTTTGTATTCTTAATGTTTTATATTTTGCTTTTTACCTAAAATGACTGCACTACTTTTAGCCACCATCCATCATTGATTTGGGCACGAGTGCCATTACTGAATACTAATCTCAGAACTGTGGCAAATGATGAAGATAGTGAACTCTCTTCTAATGAGCCTTGGTTCTGGTGGTCGAAGTTCCATGAGCGTCTTGATTATGACAAAAGAGTGGGTGTCATACTCGAGCTTTCTGCAGATTTGCCTTCACAGAAGATGTTAAAAAGATGGCTAGGAGAACCTGTAAAAGCCATAGTAGTACCTACCTCTATATTCCACAACAACAAAAAAGGGTATGGTCTGTTTGATTACCTTAATGCTTATACTTATGAGATTATAATATCTATTATATTATAAAAGTGTTTGAGATGTCATTTTACTCATTAGGAGCAAACATTCATATACTTGTTCTGTATTGAATTAACAGGTATTGTAAACAAATACATATAAACAAATATTCAGAGTATATCTGATTAAGTAATACTTAAAACAATTTCTCTCACCTAGATAATAACTTATAAATAACTTACTTATTAATAATAACTTAAAGACTTATTTACCTATATAATAAATTGATTATTCCAAAACTTTTATGGAAATTATACTCTTTCTATTATATATATATATATATATATATATACATCCTATTGTTGCCTGAAAAAAAGTGCTTTATATGATAAAGCTGCCAATTATATAATTTTGTAAAACTATTTTTAAATTTGTTCATCTAAATTGTGTTTCCAATAAAGAACATTCTATTCTATGCATTATTAGATATCCTGTGCTATCACGGGCTCATCAAGAACTAGTTGTTCGTATGGTAGAACATGAAGCTCAGGTAATTGTGAGTGGAGCAAGAAGACATAACATAGAGTATTATGTGCAATATTTATATAGAATATGGAAAAGAAGACCAAATCAAGCAGATGACCCAATGTTGAGCTATGCTCGAGGGTAATGTTACTTTTTTTTTCTTACAATATTGCTTATTATTTGAAGTGGAAGAAGATTCATCATCGAAGGCAAAGGCATAGACTAGCTGGTGCAGTCTTATTGTGACCATGGCTGGTGCGACCCTTTTTTTTTGTTAACACAGGGGAAATGTATCTTAAGCCTTAAACCTTAGCCCTTAAAAGGGCAGGTTAATGTGGAAGCGCTACCTGGTAAAACCCGCTGCGGTTCACCTCACGCGAATGGATAAGCCCTGTATCCAGCAAGGAGGGCCCGGACACAATCCACACTGGGACATCTCTCTTTTTTTTAATTTTTTTTTTATTGTTGCACAACAAAGTGACTGTAATACACCTGGTGGGAAGTGATATTACATTCTAATAATAGTAGCAGCTGTCAGAAGTCGAAACTACTCCTGGTAGCCACCACTATCTTGCCGGCCTATTTAAGAGCCTTTTCACACCTCTTTTGAAGCACCCAAGGTTATATTTAATGTGAAAAATGTGGGATGGGAGACTGTTCCACATTTTAATGGTACGGCAAATATATGATTTGCCGATTTTTTTTGTACGAGATGGTATAGTACAAACAGTCTGGGAATGGCAGCGAGCACCGGCACGTGTCAACCTGTTACGGAAGGAGGAAGGGAGAATGATGTTGAATAATTCCTCAGAGCACTCTCCATGATAGAGCCGGTAGAACACACTGAGGCAATATCACGCCTCATTTGCAGTGGCTCAAGATTGTTGGTTAGCCCCTCATCGTTTATGATGCGTACTGCCCGGCGCTGCAGCCTGTCTAGGGCATCCAACAGATATTTTGCGGAGTCATCCCAAAGATGCGAACAGTACTCCATGCTAGACCTGACCTGGGTCTTATATAACAAACACCGTTGCTCGGGAGTAAAAAACCGGCGCACTCTGTTTAAAATTACGAGCCTGCGAGAAGCAGCAACTATAACGCTTTCGATGTGGTCTTTTGGGTTGAGGTCGCTGCGAATATCCATGCCCAGAATATTGAGGCTATCTTTTGTTGTGAGGCTAATGCCCCGGAGAGTGGGAAGAGGGGAGAAAGGGGAGGTCTTAGACGACAGAGCGCATACCTGTGTTTTCCTGGCGCTGAACTCAACCAAATTATCTGAACCCCATTTGGAAATACAGTCCAGACACCGATTGAGCTCCACGACAAGATTTTCACGATTTCTCATCGTTGGTCCCACGCCACTCGACGAGTGCTATCGTCTGCATAGCAATGAATGAGGCCTAAAGGCAACATGTCATTAATATGCAGAAGGAACAATGTGGGTGAAAGTACCGAACCCTGTGGAACCTCGGCATTCATTATTTTAAATTGCGAAGCCCTACTATCCACCAGGACACGTATTCTTCGCTCAGCCAGGAAGCCGGTGATCCAAGTACAGAGCTGGCTAGGGAGTCCGTAAGAAGGAAGTTTAGCGAGGAGGCCTCCATGCCAGACCCTGTCAAAGGCTTTAGCAATATCCAGACTGACAGCCAATGTTTCACCATGGGCATCCATCGCCTCACCCCAGCGGTGTAACAAGTATGCAATAAGATCACCCGTCGACCGGTTTGGCCTAAACCCGTACTGCCGATCGTGAATTATAGAGTGATCTTCCAAGTAGCGAACTATCTTAATATTAATAAGCCGCTCCATAACTTTGCTAAGTACAGAGGTTATAGCGATAGGACGGTAGTTCGCGGGATCTGACCGATCACCTCTTTTGGGAACCGGTTGCACATTAGCTTCCCTCCATGGTTGTGGGACACAGCCTGGTACAGGGTGGGGTGTCAGCCCTGTCCCATTGATCTATAGAAGGATGGAACGCGTTAATACGCGAACCCGCCCTCTTGTCGGTCTTTGTTGGCCGGTGCAACCTGGCCAGGTTGCACGGGCCAACAAGGAAATGTCGGCACAGGTTGGTGCAAAATCGCGTCTAATACCCGGTATTAATGATGCAGCGAGATAGTATAAAAGTGGAAATATTGCTTAAGATTTAAATTTAATAAAATTTGTTTACTAGATGGGAGGATTATCTTCAAATACCATTACAACCACTTGCTGACAATCTGGACACTCATACATACAATGTGTTTGAAAAAGATCCTATAAAATATGACCAGTATCAAAAAGCAATTGCTAAGGCCTTATTAGCTCTTCAAAAGAATCCCATTTTGAATTTGGAACAAGTAAGTTAATTATGTTTTATTTTATAATAAATTAATACTTGAGTAATTTTAAGCCTTTAAAAAGTGCTTGTTTACTCTGAAGGTAGAGTGACTAGGGCTAAGGTTTGTACAAAAGATGAGGCTTGCTTGTACTGGTTTGTTTGAATCGACTCTGCAAGTAAGAAACATTTGTTATTTCAGAAAACTGTAATAGGCAACTGTATACTTAAAAATGAACAAATAGATCAAAGTGACTGCAATTCAGATGACAAAAGTACAATAACAGTGATGGTTCTGGGAGCTGGCCGTGGACCGCTTGTACGAGCTACTCTTAATGCAGCGGATATCACAAACAGTAAAGTTAAGGTATAATTAGAATGTTAATAAAGTTCATTTTATAGTTGACCTGGTGTTATAAATAATTAATAAAACTTATTTTTTTTATATCAAAAAATTTTGCTTGAGTAGTAGCAACCTAGCATTGGATTGACAACATTTAAGTATACATGAAGAAATAAATTTCGTTTTATATTATTGTAAATAATCATTATAAAATTTTTCATCTAATAATGTATATTTAATTAACACATTGTTGCAGATAATTGCAGTAGAAAAAAACCCATGTGCAGTGGTAGTTTTGGCGGCTCAAGTACGCGAAGTATGGAGAGGTCGTGATGTTGTCGTTATTCCAGGCGACATGAGGCACATTAACTTAACTCCTAAGGCAGATATTATTGTATCTGAATTGTTAGGTACTGATAAAAATATTTTTCTTTTCAATTATTATTATATATAATATTATAATTCCATTGGCGCGAATCTCAACAAATGTCAATGTTAAAATGCCAGTGATAGTGAAGATGATGCCCGACAACAGACAAATAATGATGCCCAAAATGCAACTGATAAATAGAGATACTCATTTATTAGTCAATATTACAGCACTTCTGTTTTTAGTTCATTTATTTCTCTCATCTTACTAAATCTCTTAAAATATATCAATTATGTATTATAATCGAAGCTCAATCAAGATTTATTTAAGTCAGATGCACATGAATGCTTGAATACCTGGATGGCTAAATAAAAAATAAACATTTCATTTATGACAAATCTATTCAGACATTAAATTCTATATATCAGGCTTATTGTGGGGGTATAAGAATTTCTAATGTACTATGTTGATATAAAAAAAAATTTTTAAGGTTCATGGGGTGACAATGAACTGTCACCTGAATGCTTAGATGGAGCCGCAGGGCTCCTCAAGCCAGGAGGAATATCAATACCTTGTGCATACACTTCACATGTTGCACCTATATCATCACCAAGACTATGGGCAGCAGCTAAAGTTGCAGTGTCTGGTACATCAGTTCAAAAAGACAAGAATCTTGAGACTTTGTGGGTTGTTTATATGCAAAATAAGCATGACATAGCAGACACTAAGGTAATGAAGTGAATACATATAAAGTTTAATATTGATTGTAATTTAAATACCTAGATGGAAATGTTTATGAAGTATTTCTCGCTAATTCTTTGTCTTGAATCTATTTTTCCTTGTGAATCTAAAGGTCTCATAATCATATTGCTCTGTAACTAAGACTCAAGGATCAACTATATATAAAAGTCTTTTAATGAATATGTATAGTGTCTTTGCTATAGTTTTATTTTACGTTTAGAAGTAATATTAATAATTATTTCAGTTGGTGTTTAGTTTTGAGCATCCAGCACGAGGACAAAAGGATCATGAAGGGCAAGAAATGACAGATTATAGAGGGTTGCCTTTGACAGATAACCGTAGAACAGCTACTGTCTCATGGACTGTCGAACAAGACAATGTGATGCATGGTTTTGGTGGTTATTTTGATTGTAAATTATATGAAGATGAAATGATCAGTATAGTGCCTTCAACTCATAGCCCGGGGATGATTTCATGGTTTCCTGTTTTTATACCCATAAAGGTATGTAAATCTTGTAGGTACGGAAAAAGAATTGGGTAAATGGCAGAATCTGGTTTTAAATAATTAATTGAAAACTTATTTTCCATAAGAGCCATAACACGAATTTTGCTATGTATATTTACTATCACCACAACACATTTTGATCTATTTTTTCGTGTTTTCGTTTTTTGAGCGTAACATAGGTATATATTTTTTATTTTTCATTATAAATAAGAATTTTTGCATTGTATAAGATTTTAATTATACGGATATATCTACTCATTTTCGAATTAAAGGATCTCGACAGATTGACAGACAGACTATAAAATGATCCTATAAGGGTTCCATTTTTTCTTCTGAGGTATGGAACCCTAAAAATAATTATATATCATTTTGACACCATTAGAATCCAAGTGGGTGTTTTCGTGTAGTTGTGTTTAATCCAGATATTGAATAGACAATCTCAGGATTGGGGTATTTGCAAATATGGGATAATGACCCATATTATATATATATATATATATTCATTGAATCATTATTTTCAGACGCCTTTACGAGTACATAAAGGAGAAACGATAACTGCTACTTTTTGGAGATGTATAGATACTCGAAGAGTATGGTACGAATGGATTGTTGAGGTTGGAAATCGTGTCACTCCTCTACATAACTGTAATGGACGTAGTTCAGAAATGTTATTATGATTTTTTAAATAATTAAACTATGATTTAAGAAAGTTTTTATTTTTTATTATTAAATCCTACTCGAATCGCATCACTCATTATGTATAGGGCTCGTGCAGCTAAGTTCGTTCAAATTTCAACTACTTTTGAACTAAATAATTAAGACATAAAATTAGTCTCCAATACAAATTCCCGATTTTTGCAAGCAGTGTTTTAATTTTATCGCAATGTATCTTGTCAAATCTTGCAACTAAATTTTAAAGCAGTTAGTCTCGATCGGTTAAGCTGAAATTTCACACATATTTAGTCTAGATGGCATTGCATAGTAATATTTAAAATCTTATATGAGGGGCGCCCTAAATGAAGTATATATACTCTTTCATGACATGAATGTCAAATGGTTGGCTAAGAAAAAAATATTTCTTCATTCTAACTAAATCCAATATGGCTGCCAACGAAGATGGATTATAATAGTTATCTTTGAAAACTCTCATAGCATGGATATCGAATGAAGCCGAGAAGATCAATATTAAAGCTAATTTCATTCCAATATGATGGACGCAGGCCGGCTTGTGAACAAAAATATAAAGTCCTAATGAACTCTTTTTTTATAATTAATTAGATTACGCTTGGGTCAAAGTAGAAAAAGAACTTTTATATATTTTCTCAGGATGTAGAGATACCTTCGTTGTCTCAAATACTTCATAAGACAAAGGTTTAAACTACTCAGCTTGTAATCAGAGCAATGTATATGATATTGTCTAATAATTTATTATATAAACAAGGTATGTGATTAAGAAATTTTATATAAAAATACTTTTGACTTTTTTACTTCAGGCAATATGCCATCATCTGTATCAAATGAGGGAGTATTTAATGTTTAAAAGTAAACTAGTTTTCAAAACTCAAATTCTATTTGTACTTTTTCGTATTTGTATTGATAACTAAGTTTCGTACTTTTCAAATTTCAGTTTTTTAATATGTTAGTTTAAAGGAACGGAAATGACAGTCTTTGGTCCATTCGTTTCCTGCAAAAATCAACTTTTGCTAGAGTCGCCATGTAGTGGAGGAGCTTTTAAGTGATTTCGTTATTTTTTTAAATTGTCTTCATTCCTTATTACATAAGCTATCTGCCATGAAAGTCCCGTCAAAATTATTCTAACCGTTCCAGAGTTTGGCCGTAACAAACACAAAAAATGTAAAAAAACATTATTTTGGTATTAGACGGTTAATTTGTACTTGTAAAAATAAAACCGTAAGATCCGCTCATTCATTCATCGGGAGTTCCCCGGTCAAAAAGTAAAGTTACCTATTTGTTCGTGGGAGTATTCCAGGGTTGCCATAATAGGTAATAGAATATCTACTAATAATATTCACACTCGCGATCCGCTTTGGATTGCTGAGTCATCGAAGTAAAGTAAGTAGGTACTATACTAATGTTTTAAACTTTTCCTATTGCTTATGTTTAAAAAAATAATCGATGGTTAATCGTCGATTAAGAAATCATAATCGATAGTGACTGATTATTTGAAAAATCGATTAATGATAATCGATTCAGCACACCACTAAACAAGACCATAAACCATAACAATTATATAATCTGTGGCCGTAACTAAAAAAAAAAGCATGATAATCTTACAGATTTAAGGTTATTTTTACATTTCTTTGTTTTTTTTAGTGAATGGTTTATATTTCTGTGAATATATATTTATTATCTCTAAGAACTTGTTATACTAGCTATTTAAATTCATACTGAATTAAGTTGTATAGAAAAAACTTAGGTTACTATTTTCAGTACCTGTGCAGCAGTTACGATGAGTGATACAAAGAAATTTCTTAAGTTTAAACCAATCAAAAAAGAGATAGCAAAGGAATTGGGTTTTATAAAGAATATACTTTCGTGTATGAATTTACCTCTCCAATCAAAAGGTAAGTTTAGTTTGACAATAACTCTTTTTATTTGTATTACCATTTTGAAATGTTACAAAATTGTAAGGTGTGGTATTATTTATATTAAGGGCTTTAACGAGTCACAAAAGGCATAAGTGAAAAGTTTTAGAAATTGGAGGTTATTTATATGAAATCATTGAATCGGTGAAGCATAGGTTATTAAATTGCAAAATATATTTAATAATCTATACTAAATACCCAATTTAAAATTCTTTCGTAACACCTTTCGCCTGCGATTAATTTTAGTCTAATCTATTGTAAATATTTATACATATGTATGTCTACAGATGTATCAGTTAGAAAATATAGTGTAATAATTTACTTACATATTCCATTTATATTTAAGGAGAAAATGATGATATTTATTATGAAATTACAAATGATACCAAAAGTGAGATTAAAGATCTACCTAAACGAGCTCGCAATATAACAGAGTTAGAGGAGAAATTACAAAAATTGAAATCGCAACATAATTACAATTTAAAAAACAAACTTGTGAAAAAGAGTTTAACTAGTAAATTGAACAAAAAAATCAAGAAAAAGGAGAGACTAAATAAAAATAGAGTTAAACCTATAGTAGATGGACCATTTATGGATGCTGGCAAGACTGTTAAGGAAGAAAAACCCAATGTTAACATAGCAAAGCCAGTCTTTAATGTTGACGGAAAGTTAGTGTTTTCAAAATTTGATTTTGCAAATGTTGGCAAAACAGGTATGTAGACAATTTCAGCTTCATTGTTTTTAAGTCTCAGAAGTATTCCTATACATCATCAAGATTATGAAGTAAATTAAAAAATTCTTACAGTAAAAAAAGTTGAAAAGGATCCAAAAAAGATTTTGCCTAATTTGCAAGAGCAGGAGAAGAAGATTCGTGAACTTGAAGAGAAAGGTGATGACTCAGCAAAAAAATTAAAAGAAAAAATAGCTTGGAAAAGTGTTCTCCAAAAAGCTGAAGGGTTAAAAGTAAAAGATGATCCTAATTTATTGAAGAAATCGATAAAGAAAATCGTAAGTCCTTTTTTATTTTGTATTGAATAATTATGAATATGGTGTACCCACAGTGTTATTATATGATATAGATTTTAGTCTTTTATGTAAAGTTCTTATTTTATTATGGCAGTTGGTTATTCATGATTACATATTATTACAGGAACAAAAGAAAAAACAAAGCAAGAAGAAATGGGAAAACAGAATACAGAGTGTTCAACAGAAGAAAGAAGACAGACAAAAGAAGCGTAAAGAAAATATAAGTAAAAAGAAAAAGGAAAAGAAGTCTAAAGTTGTAAAGGCAGCTGTTAAAAGAGGGCGTGTCGTTATATAATTTAATGTTAGGAATTAAACTAGTTAAATAAAATTTTGTTTATTTTTATCTTTTCAATACAAAAATTCATAAAAATGTGTATCAAGGAAAAGTAAAAACAAATAACCAGTTTAGTACCTATAATCAATAAAATATAATTTAAATTTGCATTAAATATCTCCTAAGGAGTAGATTGATAAAGAGGCTGGAAAATTTATGGGCTTTGAATGAAATCAGTAGAAATTACATTCTCCCTTGCATACTATTATCATCACAACCTGTTAATGTCCCCATTGCATTGACACAGGCCTTCCCTATGGGTAGAATCAAATCGAATAAGGAGAATGGATGATGACCCACCATAAGGGCACATTGCAGATTGGTAGGTGTTGCGATAAACGACGCAGATGTAGCTGGGACCAATGGCTTAACGTGCCTTCCGAAGCTAATAAATTTTCGTCACTCATCCTATGACCGGCCCCTTCCACATTGCAGACCGAAAGCGCTAACCACTGCGCCATCGAAATCGATAATATTGTAGACTCATTTAATCGGTGTTCCTGCATTAGTCCTATTTTGTTGTGATTTTTTTATGAGTGTCTTTCCAGTGTTCTGCATAGAGCCATAAGTTTTTATTAACGCTGTGTATGGTATAACTAACGAAACAAAAAAGAATCAGGTCAGCGATATTCAACAATAAATACATCGAAATCTTTGATAACAAGATGATTCTCAAAAAGGTTTTAAAATATTTTTTTTTTCAATAAAAAGGCTTCATTTAAAATAAATAAATTTATTGATCTGAAATAGAACAACAAACATATATGGAAAAAATTAAGACTCCATTTCGAATTGTTCTTAAGCTCTATTTGCATGGGCACAAACGAAGCGACACGTTAAATGAGACGAAGAGTAATAGACAATATATATTTTTTTGATTTTGTTTAAAATATTTTTTGTAATTTTATTTTGAAAAAGACAATTAAGATTATTAATTAATTAAGCTTCTTATTGCGGACCTCGGACGTAATAAAACTTTCATGCTTACTTAAGGCGATAGAAATAAAGTCGAATTTAGAATGAATATATTATGTGAGAATTTAAGTTTTATAAACTGGCATCCCCGAGGACGTTAGTAACACCCGGTTTCTGAATTAAGAATTTAAAATTAAGCAAGATTCAAACTATACTTAAAAATCTTTTATACAGATTTTCGTTTCTTTTTTTTTTTTATGATCAGTTCATAGCAACTTGATAATACTAGGATTTTATGCCTGGTAATGTAACAAACTTAGTTATTGAGAATAATCAGTTGAGATTTTGTACTTTTCTCAATTCAGAAATCGGCAGTAAGTCTTCCATTCTGCACCATTGCGAATGAATAGAGATGACTGCTCATGGTCGATGGTAATTAAGGTTGTGAATTGTAAATTTTGCCATAAGGGGCCGTCCATTAATCACGTGATGTTTTTTCAACATTTTATAATGCCTACCTCTCCCCCTCCACCCAAATCTTTCTCGTGTATTTTTTAGTACCTACAAAGTCTTTATTTTTGACGTCTGTTTTCGGTTTAGTAATCGCGCGTTCAAGGAAAAAATTAATACACGTGATATATTATTACAACCCCGCCCATTGTGATATTTCATGATTTTTGAGGAACCCCCTCACCCCTTTTCGAGCCTCTCGTGATTAATGGACTGCCCCTAATCTCATGCCGGAGCTATTCTGTTTCATGGAGCAGCAATAGTTAATTTTGTAAAAATGTTAAACTATCACTTGTACATATTTTTACAAGTCACATACATTTGATAAAATTAGAAAAATGCCTTGCTTACACCTCGTAAGGTTACTGCGATTGTGGGAGTAACCGGTAAGTATTGCTAATTTTGAAACGAACCAATAATTCGGCCTTTTCACTCTATTAAATTATAAGCGCCCCCACTAAAACACAGGCGAGAGTACGACGTAGGCTGTAGATCTAAAATTCGTTACTTCGCTAGTCGTAACTTAATTTAATTTTAAAGCTTTAATAGCATCATAGTCACGCTAAAATTATACAAGGAGTTGAGTCCACGCCATATCGCTCACTGAATAGTATAGTAGCACAACTCAAAAACCATTATATTGAAAAAACGCCTCATTATTGTGGTGGCATCCCATAGATAATTTAAAGAAAAAAATAAAAAAACTTAACAGTAATAATATAATACAATCGATTTAACAGTTATACTAAAAAAAAAGATTTTCATAATTATAAATATATTAGATTTTCATAACTTCGGAGAGCGTTCCTCGAAATTATGGTTTTTGAGTTGTGCTACTGTACTATTCAGTGAGCGATATGCCCACCTGTTTTAGGGGAGATCCTATAACAGTAAGTACAGCTAAGATTAAATATAAACCTGTGTATTAAATCTGAGATGTCGACATCAGATGCAGTACTACCTAAGGTGTAAAAGTTAAGGCCGCTATAACTGGTCAATATCTATAGCGAAACTGGAAGATCTCTCAGAAAGATGAAAATTGAAAATAAATCAATGTAAATTATAAAAAACTGTCTCACAGTCTAATCTAATAGATAAACTATAATCTATGTAACTAAATTCATATGAACACATTTTTTCTTATATCTAGGTGCACTTTAAATTACACATACCATAGGTACTATACTAGAGACAATAGTTTCGCCGCTATTGGAAGGAGTGCTATTTTAATAGTGTAAAGCTCTACAGTACATTCGAATCTCTGTACGACGAATTGACTATAGTCAGTTACACATAGCACACGCCGTTCCGCCCCGCGTGGGTCGGTTTCATATATTTAGTATGGGTGAATTTATACTAGCTCTGTCTAGTCTAATAGTCTAGCTAGAGTATCGAACAAACGTATACAAATTACTTTCCAGACCACGCACGGCACTGTGAGGCTTGGGCCATATGTAACTGATGCTTTATTTGGCGGAAAAGTCTTTTTATTAAAGACATCTCACCTGTTTACTTTGTACTAACTGCTAAATTGTAGGTATTAAATATGTACACATTAGGCCAAAAAATAGTCACCGTCATACCTAATGCTTACAGTCAATCAGAGAAAATATAAGGCAAATTATATCCGACGTTTGTTAATAATCACACATTATAAACAAGTCAAATACAGTAATAGATAATTATGTACACTAACGCACAGGTGGTACAATAAGACACAACTACATGATGACTATGAGAGTAACAAATTTTGTAGTAATAAAGGCATAATGGTATAAAATCTATCAATAAGTATTCAAATTAAATTGTCTAAGAAATATTGTTATTATAAAAATATTAAACAATTTAGACAATATTTAGATATGATACAACTGATGGGAGAGATAATTTAAATAGAAATTAGTTTATGTGGACCATTATTTTTGAAATGGCTTGATTTTATCCTCGCAAAGCGACTTTTAAATTATCTGATACTTTTTCTGTACATAGTTTACTTACGCGATAGTTATTAGGTCGCTAAGTTATTTTGGTCAGGTAGTAGATGTTTCTTAGTTTATAGCAAACATTAACATATTTTGTACAAGTAAACATGTTTGAGAATAGTTCTTCTCAGGTACAGCCAACAGCACATCAAATTATTAAAAACCGTCAAAAGCTCTTCAATAAATTTTTAATCTTAATTTTTGTATTGAAAGCTTAAATCGGCAGAGGAAATCTGTCTTTTTCTTGTAATTAAAATACTCTGATTTATTTCGAAAGAGGTTCACCAAACAATTTATCCATTTATTTATATTTTAAATATGCAGTCAGAGAATTAATAATACAATATAGAAGAGCTTTTACTACCCCAATATACATATTATAGAATAATTGTTACAGTATCACTTGTTCAGTGATACAATTGACTTTTTTATACAGATCAGTTTTATAACAAATCGTTTTTAGACAACCTGTTCATTATCAATTAAATAATAGTACACACACCATTAGATGGCGCTATTGTAATTTGTAGATCAAACTTAAATACTTTGATTGGTGCCATTTTGAAAAAGAAAAAGACGTTCATATCTTAGATGTAAGTTCATTTTTCAATTTATCTAAGCGATTACGCATAATTAAATTATATGAAATCACTTTCTCACTCAACAGCGCCATCTACTTTTAGATAGGTTGCCAATGTACCTATTGAACGTTGAATAAATTTGATTCTATCAGATTCTACCTTATCGATGATGAATTGATGACGAACTTTTAACCATCAACAAATTAAATACTTAAATGGATGAGTATTCTGGCCTTTAATCACTACAAAGTTATTACTTGACGTGTCGTTGACTGTATCTCGTTGGTGTGGCGCCTGTTTTGTTAGTAGAAATATTCATATTAGGCTGTTGTAATTAAATTTTAAAGTTGCTAGTCGCTATAAATCTTTAAAATTAATCAGCAGTATTTCATTTCCATTGAAATGGATTTGTTAATAATTGGTAGCGAATGAAACTTTGTCTCTCTTATAATTAAAAATAAAACTAATCTATTAAACACTGTTAAAATTACCCAGGCTATAAATGTTGAAAACAATTGTAAATACCAACAACTATTAATTAATTATGAATAAAGCCTCAAAATAAATGTTATATTTCATATTACGCAAATTAAATAAATAAAATTAGAATTACAATAAAAAGATTTTACTCAGGATATAGTATTTTATAATATATAACATTATACATTAAAAAGGCTCGCTAACATACAATATAGCCTCAATCCTTATATTCTAATAAAATATAAGGAGTTTCTTATTTAAGAATATTTTTAATATTATATTAATGAATAAAATAACATATTTTTCATAATTACTTAAATTGCAGCAATTATTTTTATTAGTGTATAACACTATAAATAAATATATGGGTAAAGAGAACATAACAAATATTTCCCATAACCCCAACATGAAGGCTTAGCCAATGTTCATTGCACTTTTTAATACCCTTATTTCTATAGATCCACAAATTATGCAAGAAACAAAAATACCATGTCAAGAATCCATTGATAATTTTGAGATAGTACAAATTAAATATATGTTATCAGTATGCTCATGAACTTAAGTTTTTAATGTCTTTGGAGTGACAAGTACATACTTTAGAATATTATATAATATTGTATGCTTCATGTACAATCTCCACTAACCTCTTATAAATAAGCATTGGGTAGTACAAAATAGTAATATTAAGTAATCTACAATATTATCTAGACAAAAATATAAAAATAACATAGCTCTTCTGCACAATAGAAAAATAAAAAAGTAATACTGCACATAATTATTTCTCTAAATTATCAGTCAAACAAGACACATTTTTAAAGGACAAATGCAACTTGTAGTTAACAACAAATGAATATTCACAATTTGAATCAACTGTATTTTTAATATCTGGGGTTTTGCACACTCGTTACTTTTTTAAATAAAAGGTTTGATTTATGAATAATTTTAACTTTATGTTATGTTTCAAGCTGTGAGCTCCAGGCTCAATCGCTACTGCAGTTTGAAAGATGGAAGTGTGCAGGAAAGAAATTCGTACATAGAATATACTCTTCATAGTTTGGAATAAAACTAATTTTACAAAATAAAACCTACTATTTGAACTTATAAATTTGTAAGATTTCCATTTGGTCGAGGTAAATTTACTTTCAGTGATAACTTCGGTGGGTACGCAGATGAACTGAACTTGTTAAATTAATTAAATCAGAATCAAATCTTAAAATTTCAACATGTTCAAATAGTAGAAATGCTTAGTCTAACATATTCACTTACAATTAAAATCTAAATTTAAATGGTAATAATAAAGCAAGTCGTGAGGCGGGATATTTGCATCAGTCTTGTGAAATTCAATTGTGAAAATTATTACTGTTTTTTTAACTATTTGGTAATCTTGTTAATTGAAATTTGTCGTAATTAAAAATAGTTCTTTTGTGATAGATATAAAACTGCAACAACTGTCATCAATTCAACTCAGATTTTAAAGTTGAAAGTGTAGCCTCAAGGACCCTACCAGCAGCATAGCCCGGTATGTTCAGGTAAGCAGGTTTGTCATGTTCACATAGCCCTGGCTGGGTGCAGCAACGGTTTAAATTTCCACCACTTGTGGAACCACTCTGACTTCCACTAGCATCTGTAGATGTACCTTGGCATAAGAGTTTATGATTTGTAAATTGTTCTAATGTACGTAACTGTTCACCACAGCTGTCACACTTTAGTTCACGAGCATGCACCTTCCTATGACTGTTCAATGATCTTGAGTTATCAAATACTTTAGTGCACATGTCGCAATATTTCAGTACCTTTTCTCCAGTGCACACTACCCTATGATTGTTAAGTCTGTCCAGTGACATATAGCGTTTATTATTGCATAGGTCACATTTAAACTGTTTCTGAGGCACTCTCCCAGTATGAACTTGCATATGTTTACGGAGATTACTTTTGTCTTTTATATATTTTGAACAAACAGAACACTTATTTACATCTTTACGTGTGTGATTAGCTTCAAGGTGTCTACGTAGATATGATTTCTTATGAAATGGTTCTAAGCAGATTTGACATCTGAAAGGCTTTTGAGCAGCATGAACCTGTGTTAAATGTGAATTAAACTCTAATATTGTAGGATAACTTTTTCTACAATGTGGACAGTGAAAAAGCTTACGACACACAGCAGCACTCGAGTCACAAAAAGGATCTGAACAATCATCACAGAATGAATCTAATCCTGCAGGTGGTGGAGTGGGCACTGCTTGGTACTGCTCTATATCTGTTTGTAAGGGGTCATGGTCAGGAGTTCCAGCACCTGATGGTTCTTCTTTAACTTTTGTTTGATCATTACTTTCAGAGAATTCATCTTGTGTGGGAAGGTTTCTTGAAGTACTAGCAAGCATCCACCAAGGATTATAATGCCAAGTTCCAATTCCAGGCTGCACTGGTTGATTTTTTATGTCACTATTCTTTGTTTGAGTTTCAGCATTAGTGAATCCAGGAAAACTAGGTAATTCTTGATGTTTGGATCTGGACGTTTCAAATAAACTATGCTGTGTAAGTAAGTTTTCAAAATCACTCGTTTCTAATTTTCGTTCATTTCTATCGCCTTGATCTCTTTTCGACATGATTTAACAGTGTCTGGAAATTTATTTAAATGTTCAAAATATTGTTATGATTTATCATTTTTGAAAAGTACTAATATGGATCAATGAACGAAGTAAACAAACAACGCAATAGCGCGCAAAGTTTTCCTATAGGAGATTCTAAAACAAAAATAAAATTTTGAGATGACGATTAGGTACTAAATATTTGAAAACGAAATAATGCATTAAAAGAGAAACGATGTGAATAGTTTAATAATAATTTATTTAATTGCATAAACAAACAACGTTTGTGTTGTTTGTTTTATTAGTGTAAAGATGTCCATGTTATATTTTTGTTTACATCTGTTTAAATTTGACAATAATGACTAAAGTCTACTAAATGTTCAAAATAAAGGAAAATACATACTGTTTATGAGTTTTCCATAAAAAATACTACAAAACTTGGTTTTTAAAAACGACGGCCATTTTGTTTGAATATAGTTTTTGTTTTTAAATTTAAAATGCTTAAAGAACTCGATTTATAAAGCCAATAAGAAATTACGAAATAATTATACAATATTTTCGGTTGCTTGGCATATTCATTGCATAACATAATCGCTACCAGTATAACTTTTCTTATGTGGTTTTCTTTTTAATAATGCATCTTTCGATTGGCTTAATTAAAATAATCACAGAAGTATTGAAAATAATTGTAAATATTGACTTCTCGCTTACTCTTTTCTAGAATAGAGAAGCGGTTTGCAATGAGGAAGTAGGTATTTTAAAAAATAAATAAAGAAACTACAAAAAATTATTCCACTAAATGGCAGCACAAATGGTAGGATCTAAATGTCAATGAGGAAGAATTTAAAAAATATACATGTATAAAAGTAAATTAATTTTCTAAACTCAATAAAAAACTCATTTTAAATGACTCGTATTTTTAAATGTGTACTTGATCCAACCAGTCCTTTATTTTCCACTCCATTACGGAATAAGGGCAAATAGCCAAGTTACGTAAAAACTGTTTTTTTTTTACTAACTAGTTCTCTTATTGGTCTGTGGTTGTACTGTTTGCTTACTCTTTAATATAAAGACGGCTGAAGGTCATGGAAGCCGGGGCCAGTAAAACTTTAAAAAAAAAGGAAGAACTTGCTTACTCTTTTTATGTGTGTGCCGTGTTTCGTGATTTGTGATAAAAGGATAAAAGATGTTGATTAATGTACGAATATAAGATCGTGTCATAAATTTTTTTTATCGTATTTTAAATTAATTAAATAAAGTCATAATGGAATGGCTGAGTTCTACTATTCTTAAAACCTTTTGGAGACCTACTATGATATCTGTTAGGTTATGTTGTTTTAAAATAATCACAATTTTTTCTCATTATTATAGCATTTAGAATAATTTCCATATTATTTTAGGACTCGTTATTATGCTGATAAAACGCGACTTGTAAGGAGATATGGCTATGATGACAAATTATGGTGTGGTGGTTTGTTGCCGAGAACAGGAACCAAGAGTCTTCCAATACCGGAATACAGGTAAGCGAGTAAAGGTGTACCAGAATCTGATGGTAAATCGGAAAATTTTAATTTGTTGAAAGCAACATTGGGGAAAAGGGGTAAAGATGTGTTGATACTCGTAATACTTTTGATTTAATAAACACTGTCTTATAGCATTGAATGTACTTCCGACCATATTTCTATCTCGTCAAATTTTGATAAAGATTAGCCATATATAGTGCATAAACACATCTGTATACTTTACATTACCAACTTCTAATATTTTGATGGGTTAGTCCCCACCCCAGAAAAAAACTAATAATATCTCATCTGACTCAGCATCTAACACGAATAAATAAAAAAAGCTTTATTTTATGTATTTCTTTATTGCTAATCTCTATCAATATTGTAACTGCTGTTACACTTACACATCTAAAGTAAATCTGCCGTAGTTTATTTTCTTATAATTCCTATTTTTATCCAGTATAGAAAAAAGTTGTCATAAAAATAATTTGTTTCAACAACTTGGTCTTGCAGTCATATCTTGTAAGGCTGAGGGTTCAACCTTAATTGTTAATTGAACCAAGACAAAGAAAACCTCAATAAAAAATTACCCTAATACTAGTGAGGAAAATGCCGAAGGGATGCATGGTGGGAAGGTGTCCAGTTTTAGGACATTTTAATCTAATTTATTTAAGTTGCAGCATTGTCTAAATCTATCTAAATCCTCTTGCAGTAGTTGACAATCATTAATACCAGCAATGTTTTTAAATATCTTCATCTGTATATAAAAGAAATTTCGAGTGCTTAATACATAAGTTAACATTATTTACAAATATATTAAAGAGTAACAGCCCTAGGGAACCCTGTGGTACTCCTGAGGTACCAATAATCCAGTCAGAAGAAAGCCGTTAACAACTACTGCTTGTGAAGTTTTATGTCATTTTTGAACATTTGTTCATAACCATTAATTCAAGATATACTTGCAAATTCTCTTGATGATTTTGGCTTTTTCTAAGTAATAACGATTTATTCTATACCAAGAAAAACCAGTAAGAAATTCAGGAAAGATTGCTTTTATTCCGGTTTATAACATACAAAGAAGTTCAAGTTCAATTACATCTTGAAGTCATTTTCCATCACAATAAAGAAAAACAACAAATAATCATTAAGATCGCTATCCGATTGAACTGTTGTTGAAATCTTACATAGTACTCATATAATAGAGCAGTAATATAAGAAAATAAAATATTCTAGGTAACATAAGAAAACAGTAGTTGAGGGAATAAGGTTTTGGACTTTTATGAATCTCATGGTACATGGATACAGTACAATACAAAACATACAACCATAATGTTAATTAATTAAACCAGTAAAAAACATCGAAGAATAATCAAATATTAATTTCTTTCTTTTGAAAGGTTTGAAGAAACTCGTTTTATTTTTTATTTTCCTTCTTTTGATATGATTAAAGCAAAGTTTGTTTTGAATTTGTCACTTTTATCTAAATCTTTTTAGTGCTGTTAGTAGAATTTAGTAGTGGTATTGTTCAATAATTTATTTGTCTATTTGCACCAATTATGGGCAAAAATTATTGACGTAAAATTAAATATAAATTAATTTATTTCTTTTCCATGACTATTTTTTATGAAACTTGTCTCAATATTTAAATATAATATGGTTTTCATGTATTGTTTAAAATTGAAACTTTCATTTTGACTTTTGTTTTTTAAAATATAGTTGCTGAATTTCGGGAAACATTTTATTAAACTTTCACTAGGATAATAAAGATAATTTTTGGTTTTTAGGTATTGTCTGTGTTGTAAATTTTTTTTTTGCTAGGCTCTTTATCCTTTAGACACTGCTTGCATTTTTCACAACTTTTGTAAAAAAAATATCTTAATATGTAACCAGTGACACATCCCAATTGAACAATTACGCAAGGGCCCCTTTTTTAAATTTTAAAATCTACAATAATATTATCATTTATTATGTCATCATAATCAACTTCTGTATTTTCATTCTCTTTATTTTGATATTCAAAAATCAAATCATCAAACCCGTTAAAAATTGTATAAAAATTATCTTCACAATTGGAGCCTGGTGAATAATTATTGCTCAAACTATTTTTTAACAGTGAAGCGGCAGCTTCAAACCCTGCATAAGTAGGTGAAATGGCTGCGTATACTACCCAAAAAGTTTTTTTATTGGTCCTGATTCAGGTGTCTGTACCAAAATTATTTTTATATTATATTTACAAATTAATTCGTTTTTTAAAATAATCATGTTTTCAATAGTTTTTGCCCAATCATCTATTGAAGGAACATGAAGGTCATCGTGTTAAATATTATTTTTGCGTTTAGCCATATTTCTCGATGAGATGATGTTGGTGTAATGTTTTTCAATAATTTTTTATCAGATCGGATGTTTGAGTTTTTCATGCTGCCATTCATTGAATCAAATAAATTGTCAAAAAAGTAATAATAAGACCGCAGTACCTTTTGATTCTTCTGGAAGAATAGAGTACTCTGCCATGAGAAAAAAAAACATTTACTTTAAATATTAATGATAATGTTGTTTTCTATTGATGTGACTGATTGAATAAGAAAAATATCTACTCATTATACATTATTTGACAACAAAATGAAGACACTCAACTTGTTGTTAGAATTAGAATAAATATTTTATTATTTAATATAATTTTTATTGATAAGATGACACTGCTTACCAGCTAAATAGTCCATAGTTTTACTAACTGTCTGACTAAACAATTGCGCTGCATACTTCACTCTCATCTTAGGTATTTTTTCTTTATTGCAATGATTCTCTGTGAGATTTTTCATTATTTGAAGTCTCTTGTAAGTTGGATTGTTTTCATACAATTGCATAATATGTTCCCATTTAGCTACTCTTTCTTTTCCCTGCATGACATATTTTTTTTTTTTGCATGCGAATTATTCCTTACCTCTTTCAATAAATGTGGGACGTCATAGAGAGGTATAACTTGTTTCCCGTATATTTCAAACATTTGTTAAATTCTTTATTTTTCTCAAATATTCTTTTCTAGTTTCGTCAACTAGATATTTTATTTCACTCATGTTTGACATTCCTTGGACACACACTGTCGCTAGAACTCGTAATCCAAAGGAATGCAATTTTTTAATCGTTTCTTTATTTGTGCTGCCAGTACTACTTTTGAGGTGCAGCCACATGGAACATTGACATCTTAAACAGAGTCAGAACTTTGTTTTTCATTTGTTAAATCCTTTAAAGGTTGTTATTGAAGAACCTGCAATTTTATTTTGGTTATAACGATAATTATATTAATGTATATTGATATAATAATCATTATATATTTATGATGAATATATAATTTTAAGAACAATCTTGGTAATTACGAACATTTGATTGAAATTATAATAGGTTTAAATACAATATACACTCTTTGTATAATGATATTTAGGCAAAGTTTACCTAGTAAATGAAGTCGAGGTAATGTATTAGCACTTAGAAATTTATACGGCGGCTTTTGAAAATAGTTTTATTATCAAAGTGGTGGGAAACTGCAACTTTATAACAGTAACTTACGAGGGCGGGATGAAAAATAGCTAGCCTAGCATAGAAAAACTTGAATTAATGTGTTAAAAGTATATTTATTTTCGAAATAGTCTCCTTGAAGCGATATGCACTTCATCCATCTATGCTCTAAAGCCTTGATGCCATCCCTGAAGTGGTTTTCTTTAAGCCCTTCAAAATAACTGGCCACGGCAGACATCACCTAGCTATTATTTTCAAATCTTTGTCCATCTAAAAATTTTTGAGCTTAGGGAATAGATGAAAGTCAGACGGTGCCAGATCAGGAGAATAAGGTGGGTGTGGTAGCAAATCATAATTTAATTGTTTGAATTTCGCCATCGCAGTGATGCACATGTGAACGCGCGCATTATCCTGATGAAAGATTTTTTTTTAAATTTAAATGAAAAACTATACGATCGATTTGAAATTTGGAACACTGGCAGCTAATGAAACAATGAGTAAAATACTAAGTTTTGATACAAAATATGGGTTGGGCTAGCTATTTATCATCCCGCCGACGTAATACAGTTCGGTATACAACATATTTTTCAAACGTTAATTTAGAAAATCGGTCTCCAGTAAGCGTTGCCGGGTCCGTAAAAATAACACGTTCATCATGGTCCAATAGAAAGCACGGGTCGACTAAATAGTACGCAATCACAATAATCCGTATAACAAAGCCGAGTCGTAAGTTGAGATCACAGTTAGTTTGAGAGAGCATCCGATTCGGACCGCAAACGAAACGAGACGAAATCAGAATGAAAAACTTTGAAACAAACTTTGTTTGTTTCAAAGTTCCTTTACATCGAATCCTTTCGAATGTTCCTTTACAACATAGACAAAATTTTAAATCATCACAATCATAAATTTATGCTTTATTTAGAATCATTACCCCTTAAAAATAACCACTTCAAATAAAAACAATACGATTATATGCTAAATAATAAATAAAGCTTGAGACATTTTTACTCAAACAAATTATTGTAATTCTAATTGTTATTATTAATGAGTTAAATAAAACTCATCAGTGAACGCTTTTCAGCGAATGTTGCTACTAAGGTGTAGAAGTTATAATGAAATCGTAAATTTATTTATTTCATTTTAATGTAATTTCTTTTAAAAGACAGTACAAATAAGTTTAAAACAATATTTAAAATATTTTTAGATAATATAAAAAAAAATGTGTTGCTATATCGAGATCATTGAAGTCATTAAGTCAAAATAACGCCACCTCTCGAATAAAGACAAAGATGGAGACTCATCTCTTTCTCCATACAAAATAAAAATGTATGTACTGAAATGACCCTGTACAAAATCTTTTCATTCATACCAGGGGTGGGACACTCCCTTAAGAGTGACAGCTGAAATTTTTATTAGTGCCGTCGAACGGTAAACCTTGTAAACTAAAACGTCAATAGTGATGTAGTCAGAAAACCAAACAAGGCCTTTGAAGTTGCTAAGCAACACAATTTTTTACTTCAATGAAAATATCGTTAATATATTTTGATCTCATTCATAGTCTATTTTATATAAGTTTTAGAAGAAAAATATTTTGATAATAGAAGTCCTATCAAAAAATATATAATTGTGATTGTGATATTTGGTGCGTAAATGTTGAAATCTGGTTTGTTATGAAAAAACTATGGAAAAGTGTTGAAAAGTACACTACATAAGGGGTCATCCATAAATTACGTCACACGATTTTCATGATTTTTTTGCCCCTCCCCCCGTCCTAGTCACAGCTGGTCACATTTGTAAGACTCCCCCCTCCTAGTGTGATGTCACATGTTTTGCAAGGTTTTTGTAAAGTAATAGTTTAAAGTTCGTGTTTTAACTCTTAGTTTATAACAGATTTTGAAATCTGACGTCACGAAATTTAGGACCCTCCCATCCCCTTGTCACACAATGTCACACTTCGTCGACCCCCTCCCTCCCCCTTAACGTGTGACGTAATTTATGGATGGCCTAAAACAGTTTGATAGAAGAACAGAAATAATAAATATGGTTCTTGAATTGGCATTAATGCTACTGATATTGAAATAAACATTTTATTATTTTATCTACATATGTTTCTATCACTTTTTGAATTTTCGACTTTCACTCTTCTAAGACAGTGAATTTAAGCATTTTTTACTTTATCATTTTAGGCCTGCCAATGCCTGGACAGAACGCAAAGCATTATATGGACAAAATGACTATATAGACATTTTGGGATCAGGTGATCTTCATCCTGTAAAGACATTATATACAGTTCCTTCGTGGATCAAAGGAGTCAGTGGGAAAGAATATCATGTAAGTTATGCTTTAGTACCTTAAAACTGTGTAAACTATTATATGATGTCTTAGTTATTGCCAAAGCATCTGAACGATTTTTATTCTCTTTTATATATAGTCTTAATCGAGACGTTATAGTAATTATCATTGAGGGAGTATTAAAAAAAATAGTTTCCGAAATCAAACTAGATGTCGCTACGGTACTTTCTCGATTTCTCCGTGATCACCCTTCCGGTTTTCTTTCATGTCTAAAAGTAAATTAGTTTTCAAAACTCAATAAACAACTGATATTCTATTTGTTATTTTTTGTATTTGTATTGATATCTAAGTTTCGAACTTTGCATATTTTAGGTTTTTAATATGTTAGTTAAAAGGAACGGAAATTACAAAATTCCTGCAAGTCAACTTTTGGTAGAGTCGTCATCTAGTGAGATGCTTTTTTGGTGTTTTCTTTTTATTTTTAAATACTTCCTCATTGAAATTTACAGCTTGATTTGTCACAATTAATAATAAATATAATCTTTGTTCAACTAACTAAAATTGTTTTGAATACAGGATAGAGATGCATAATATATACTATACAGCCTTTACACAGCATTAAATGCCACTGTTATCGGTGGCTGCACTGTGTTTTTTGGTATAATACTAATATGATACGATATATTTATATTTATACAGATACTACTTAGGAAGAAAAAGATGTGGTCCAAGACTGGTTCTCCTGCAGTCAGACCAACCAAGTGGAAAGAACTTGAAAAGCGACTGGGATACTTGTACAGAACACTTAACAGGAAAACTAAAACGGGTCCATCGCCAGATTAAATTCGCTTTTAATAATATTATTTTATTATTAGTATCATTTCATTGTAATGTTTATAATATTAGAAAATAAATTTAAATCGTAGTAAATCTATTTGTTATTATAACTAGTGGTCGCCATGTGGTCAAAATGTAACCATTAACTTTTAAGGGCCCTATTATATTTTGACTGATTTTTGCGTAGAGTGATGATTTTCGGCGTTCTCGATTTTATAATAAAAAATATAATAAAAATTATTGAATGGTGCAGAATTTATTCATTGCGGCTTTGCATTTTGTAAATTGCGCTTAACTTTATCCCAAAATGCTGAGAAAGATTTTCATTCAAATGAAATAAAAAAAAAAACAGTGTTATCCCTTATATAATCGTAGTGGCGTCGAAATTTTGTTCTTAATATAAACCAAAAATCTTCCAAAATAGCTTTAAGTTAACTGTGAATTTCTTTTGTTTACGATAATGTTATTGAACAAAATTTGTTCCAGAATAATTGTAATAATAATTGTAATATCATAAGAATAACTAAAGATTTCAAAATTTTAAGCACAAATTCATTAACATATTTCAATTAAAACGATAAATATAATTACAAAATTAACTACAAAAAGCGATACACCGGCCGTCTGAGCTCAGTTTGTTCAGCTGTATAGCTTCTTGTGTTTGTAATAGGGCTCTTACAATGTTATTTATTTATAAAAAAAACATCCATGTGTTATTTTCTGAATGTCAAACAATCACACTATATAACCGTTAGTGTGTTTAACGTTTTCTTAATTAATTTAATGTATTTTCCATACTAGAGTATGGAGTAGCTCGGTGGCGTAGTGTATAAGCGCCGCGGTCGTTGTCGTTAAGCGTCGGTCACGAGATGGGTGACCAAAAAATTAATATCTCGAGTTACTCCGTGTTTCGGAATGCACGTTAAGCCGTTGGTCCCGGCTGCATTTGCAGTCGTTAATAGCCTCAAATCCGTATTGGGCCAGCGTGGAGGGTCATCGTCCATCCTCCTTAACCATCCATAAGGAAGGCCTGAGCCCCTGCAGACGCAAAAGGGTTGATGATGATGATTTTCCATATTGCACATGCATTACTATAAAAATATTAGCAGTCTGCCTTTCTTATCCAATTCTCCATATAAACTATAAAAGTGGGTGCAAATCTGTTGGAAGATCCGTCGAGCTTATCATAGAAGTATAGGTTAAGTAAGTCTAGATATGACTAGCTTAGCTATAAACACCTTTTGTCTTTTGTAAGCAAATTTTTTTCGTCTCTTCCATCAAGGTACGATGATGATGAGGTTTTATTCATTATTAATTGATATAGAGTCTTTAAAAGTGAATCAGCTTGCTTTTATACAAATAAATTTAAGCTACAACAGTACGTCTGTCCTCAATAGATTTTGAACTCTACCCTCAATGTATCAAAATTAAAAATGGAAAACTGACAGATTTGTATAGCCTGATATATTGACTACCTAGATATGTAAATAAAGAACACGTTATACTTTTGCTTTTATTATAAATTATCGATAAAATTTGTCATATCTATTGGTAATCTCCAGTCTTCTTTTATGATGTCTGCTGCTTTTTCTGCGATCATGATAACAGGAGCGTTGGTGTGTGCCGCTGGGATACGCGGCATAATTGACGCGTCGGCAACCCTTAGCCCTCGGATGCCATGAACAAGTAACCGTGGAGACACAACACCTGATGGGTCTCCCTCTGGCGCCATTTTACATGTGCCGACCTGTGAATATACGTTTTCCATATGTGATAAATGTTCAAACGGCAGTACATCAATTACTACAAAACGCCAAATATCTACTATATATTTATGTATGAAAATCGATCGCCGTTCGTTTGTTTCGGTAAAATTCGAGAACGGGTGGGCCGATGTAGCTGAATTTGGTTTTGAAATGTTTGCCTTAGTTCAGGGAACGTTTAAATGGTCATGAGATACGAAGTACGCGGGGTCATCTAGTGTGTAATAAAATTTGATCTCTACTGCCAACAGAATAAAGGTGTGGTTATATTTATCTACAGACATTGACAGTGTCAAACACACGCCGTTTGTTTATATCAAAGACGTGAAAGGATAGACTCCGGCAGACACCGACTTTGGCGTCAGGAATTTACTTTTGATACACTTGCGCAGCAGAGGTGCGACCGCAAATTTATAGCCATATGACCCAGGAGCTACCCAGGACATAACAGGAATAACGAATCTTTCAAGCACTTGTTACTGTTGCAATCCACCCAAACAGACGAAAATAACATTTTTCAAATATTTAAACTTTCGATAATATTGAATCGAAAGTAATAATAATAATTATTATTATTATAATTAATAATTATAAAACAGTACCCGTCCCATTCTCGCCAACACGATGTACCTATATGATGATACGTAGTTTCGACAGTGTTAATGGGATTCATTGGCGCATAACACCATCTAGTTATCTACAACACAGTAACAGTATGTACTGTACGTACATACTGTTACGGAGTGCAGCGGCGCGGTTCGTAAGTAGTAAAATGAAAAAGATGTCTATCATCAACTTTTAAGAACAAAAAATATAAAAATTGTGATTACCTGGTGGTCTAAAGTGATTGCAGTTTGCATTATAGCACATTCCCAATATTGATCAGAGTCAAATAGTAAGTCTTCGCATCCGGGAAACGGGACATCATGTAATCGAGTTTCGTATTTTTGAAATGGTGATGTTCCTATAACTTGTTGAATCTGTACATACATTATTGAATAGGTATGAGAAAAAATATGATATCATGCGATAAATTAAATAGAAAACAAACTTCAAACTCAAAAAAAATATTAGAATATAGTTAGTAACAAAATTGCAATGAATTAATCTGTGATATTGCACGAACTTTTTTAACATAACTATATAGATGTTAAATTATATGAAAATCTATTGTCTAGATAAATAAAAGAAACTCGTGTTAGTTAAACTATTTATAACTCAAGAACGGTGAATCGATTTAGCCTAAAATCGGTAGGGAGGCAGCTTAGAACCAGAAGACGGACATACGGACTTTTGATCCTGTATTTTCAATAAAGTTAACAATTATGTTGCTAAGTAACTTCAAACCCCCTGTTTGGTTGCTTGGCTTCATCACTGATGATGGTTCAGTTTAACGGGCAATACTTACTACGACGGCGCTAGGAAAAATGTCAACTGTCACTTGTGTGGGAGTGACTTATAAACGCAATTGACAGTTCACTGTATACGGTTAATTTTAATCATTTATTGTCTGTTAGGAGTTAGTAGTTTATTTAGGTTTTCATTTAAAGTAGCTCGGTGGCGTAGTGGATAAGCGCCGCGGCCCGCGATCGTTGTCGTTAAGCAACTTTCGCAAGGGTCGGTCACGGGATGGGTGACCAAAAAAAAAAAATATATTATCTCGAGCTACTTCGTTCTTCGGAAGGCACGTTAAGCCGTTGGTCCCGGCTGCATTTTGCAGTCGTTAATACCCTCCAATCCGCATTGGGCCAGCGTGGAGGGTCATGGCCCATCCTCCTTAACCATCCATAAGGAAGGCCTGAGCCCCTGCAGTGGGGACGTAAAACGGCTGGTGATGATGCATTTAAATTTCTTTGGCGGTATAAAGGTCGCCGGGGCCACTAGTTGACTATAATATTTTTGTTATTAAGAAATAAAAAAGAACGCACTAAAAAGCACCTCACTGACAGTTGGCTACTCTACCAAAAGTTGATTTTCTTGGAGGGATTTAGTAATTTCCGTTCCTTTTAACTAACATTAAAAAACTGAAATTTGCAAAGTTCGAAACTTAGAGATCAATACAAATACGAAAAAGTACAAATAGAATATATTGAGTTTTGAAAATTAATTTACTGAAAATAGAAATTTGAAAAATTTAACTGAATTATTAATTATGAAAGAAAACCGGAAGGGTTGAGGAGATGGAGAAATCAAGAAAGTACAGTAGCGACATCTTGTTTTATTTCGGGAACTAGATTTTTTAAATACTTCCTCATTCATTTTAAAATCGTCATCTAGGTATACTAATATTATAAAGAGGTGCGATTCGATTTTTGCCTTTTTTTTACCTATGGGAAGCTATATCCATACGTCGGTAATTACGCGGGCGAAGTTACAGGAAAATATTTAATAAATATATTAAATTGCGGAACTAGTTACTAAAAAACTCTGGTATAGCATAATAACATTTACATTAATCTTAAATGCCGATCTTCCTCTCTTTAATATTTTCTTCTAATTTAGTGTAGATTGTAGAAAAAAATAGATGTGTGTTTACTAAGCGATTATGTACTGTTTCTTCGATCAATTTAACATGTCCGTATTTGTCTTAGTTTATTTTGATACACGCGCCGTCGAATACCATTTTCCTTTAACTGGGTCTTGCCCAAGCGTGGTTTGAATAACTGATTAGGAGCGAGCGTAGGTATACAGAAAAACATTTGTGGCCAATTCGAAACTTACAAGTCGCATTCCGTTCACTAAAGCTTTTAAGTCCTTAGGATCGTCGAAATAGTTCATAAGTATAGATGGATGATCTGAGAAGTTAGAAGAACGCAGCTTAATCCGACCAATACTGCGTGGCCTTATTAGTACCGGGTTAAGGGCGAATGTACTCTGCCGTACATTCATTGGTAATGAGCTGTATACACGGTAGTACCATTGGTCGGTCACACCTGGAACATTATAAAAATTATTTTCTTCATAACTAGGTACTAACTTTGAAGTGTAATTATTATTTATTCGATGGGTTAGTTAGTTCATATACAAGGTGCAACATTTTTATGTGCTAGGATTTCATAGGGTGGATGAGTGAAGTGTACTGAACAAATAAAGATGAAAGTTTGTTCTAATTATTATATTTGATCAATTTCGCATTCACAATGCTAGGCATACCGAAAAATACTTACTATCGCCAATAGTATGAAATAGTTGATTATTTTTTCGCGAATTCAGTGTTGCTCATTTAGTAAAAATTGTTCAGTATATTTCACTTATCTAGGTACTCCACGAAGTCTTCGCCACTTATCTTCCACCTTATATAAGACTCGAAATATGCTAACATTTACCGGTTATAGATAGGTATCTATAACCATACCTTTGTTAATTTCCTGGGCAAAATAAAATATTTATAGCTAACAGACAATTTTGAAAACTCAAGATTATTTCCTAAAATTTCTGATATTTATTACCTAATAAACTTCTCAAGATGCCCAATAAATCTCCAGCGAGCGATCCGCTTCCCATCACCAGTTCGATATCAGGTCGGGTAGTTGAATGATCATCCGTTGCGAATGCTGAACGAACGAAAGCGAGACCAGCTGCACCTCCAGGCAAGGTCAAAGGTCCGCGTCCTGTTAAATACGCGATTGCAGATAACGGTGATGCTGCAACCATCTGAAAAAGTAGGCGTTGATAAAATTCAATACTATATTTTTCCCACATTAATTTTACACATAACAAATGGGAACTAGGTCGATGACGTAGTGGTAAACACGTTTGGTCTGCAATTGCGGAAATTAAGTAAATTTCTTACAAAGGCCGGACATTGGATGGGCGACTAAAAGTTTATTATGGTGCTGCTGCTTCCACACTTGACCCGTGTGCTAAAGTTATGACCCGTTCTTCTAATACAAAATCCACGGGGATTCCCATGTGCTCCCAAAGCGGTGTCAATAATAGACCGATAGTAATGATTAAACAGGATAATTTACATAAAATGAGGAAAAAACCTGAAGTGTTTTATGTTCTCAATAAAATACTTACATCATTCATAGTGAGACTAGAATCGTTAACTATGAAGGCGTTTCCTGAGAAGGTAACATGGTCTTGAAGATTGTAACCAACAGGGAGGTTTACCACAGGTTCAATTTTCATCTCGCGTAAGTGTTCTTCGGGACCGATTCCAGACACCATAAGCAGTTGGGCGGAACCAATCGAACCAGCAGCCAATATCACTTCCTTGAGAGCACGTACTTTTAACCTTTAAAAAGTATTAAACATTGAAAATGTTGGAGAATACTAGGATTTAGCCGTTACTTTATTGGATACTGTTAGTATTTAATTAAACAGGCAACTATAGAATTTCGAATATTGTAAAAATCGTAAAGTTTATTTTTATGAATCACTGAACAGTTACGTTCTAGAGTTACTATCAAAAAGATATGTAAATCGTTGGAAAGATTATAGTAACTTATTTAAGAAATTACCTACGTAAAGTAGGTAAAATATCAATAATTTTTAACCCATTTCTTTTTGAGAATATTTTCCATTATAGCATTATTAATACAAAATTGATAAAATATTATATAATTTTAAAATAAATATATCAATATTTATTTGAAATTTATTAATTGTATTTTTTGTCCTAAGATTTTAGATCTTACCTTTTCTTTTCCTTTATAAGTTCAACTCCATAAGCAGTTTTGGTGAGCGGATCGATCAATATTTTATCGACTATAGTATGTTTTGAAACTTTCAAATTACTTCTATAGCGTATAGGTTCTAGGAATGCTTTTGAAGTGCTACATCTTCTACCATTTCTCATAGTAGCCTGAGGCTTGGAGAACCCAATAACTTGCTCTCCGTTTGGATCTCTCCATTCGTAACCTAGTTCTTCTCCTGCCTTTTTAAAAAGCTGTTCTAATGGACAGTTAAATGGAGCGTATTCTATATCTAAATATCCACCTCGACCGTGATATGTTGAATTCCTTAAGCTATTTATTTTAATATTTTCTGACTTTTTAAAATATGGCAACACTTCCGAGTAACTCCAGCCGTTATTACCCATTTTCGCCCAATCATCGTAGTCATCTGGATGACCTCTTTGGTATATTAGAAAATTTAAAACACTACTCCCACCTAAAACTTTACCTCGTGGTAAGAAACAAACGTTGCCTCTAAGGCCTTTACATGCTTTTTCCTCAGGTTCTGAGCTGTACATCCAGTTCATCGGTGTCATAGATAAAAAGGAAGCAAATATTGGAATGTCAGAAAAGAAGTTTTCATTGCCCCCGGCTTCAATTAGTAATACTCTCCAATTCTGTAGTTCCGTTAGTCTATTTGCTAAAACACAACCGGCAGAACCTGCACCGACTATAACAAAATCGAATTCCTCTTGATCCAGAGGTGTGTAATCCGGCATGAATCCTTCCCTCGGGTTTCGTGGTAGAGGCCGGAATAAATCAGTCCAGAAGTCGAATAAATTGATTCTATCCATGGCGTTGGCCATGGTAATGTAGATGTAAAGTAGTATCCATCGCATGATCTATTCGTCATTCCTGAAATAAACAAGGGGCTTAATGACGATATATTCGACTGCGTGTATAAATATATATCACGTCATGGTAGGTAATGTAGTTGATCGAAAGAATGTGAAGGACTTCCTTTGTCATTACTTTGCTAAGAACAACCTACTTTTTTCGAATGATGCTGTAGTAGACTTACTCGCAGAATACAAATTTGCGATTAATGACGGCGTTCATCATCGGTCAATCACATCACATCTTCCAGGAATGGCATGCATACAAAAGAGTTCAGAATAATGAATTAAGATTTATATTATTCGTTATTGGAATCATATAGAAATATTTGAATTCTGATGTTAAAATAAAACAATTAAAAAAATAAAACTAAAAAGTTGGCCCTACAAGTAGCCAATAACTTATTAGACATGTAAAATATATTTGTATAATTGTTTTTGAGGTAGGAAGGTTAGGTTAGAAATAATCATATACGGCGGTTAATTATTCTTAAATTTTCAAAATTTCCCTTACAATTTCTTTTTTTTCATAAGAATCTTCTCCTGACAATATAAAATATTTAATTTTAAGCCAAGAAAACGTATTTATTTTGAGAAATATTTATTATGTCTTTTATAAATTAAAATAAACAGTTATAATTATCAAACGGAGTAGAATAGTAAATGTTTAGAGAAGGGTGTGGGGGTCCATGCCTTATTTTTCATTGCAAGAGTGATGGGAAGTCCTTATTTTGTCACGTAAGATTTCAAAAACTCGCAAAGTTTAATTGTTATTATTTTACAGTGAAAATAAACAAAAAAATTTTAGTTTTCATTTAGATTTGTACATAATTCTCCTGATTCTCAGGTTTTTTATACATGGAGGGAGAAACTGGTTTTATCTAGTAATAAATGGACGATTCGGCGGTAACTACAAAATAAAGATTTTACAATACTTCTATTCAAAATATAAATATGATACAGAACATTCTTTATGTTCGAGGACAGAATAGCATAGGCCTTCAAATGTCATTTACAAATTATTATTTTTTTATATTAAATTAATGGATAGATATAGTGGTCACAGCACTGTAAAGTGGGTCATGTCTCTAAAAATACAGGTTTTATTTGAACGAAGGATAACAAGATACGCATATTACGCAGACTACGCATATTATATTATTATATGTGTTTTAGTATTGCATATCTTATTGTGTAGGCTTAGATGAAAGAAACTTAGGAATAAATAAACGGTTCGGAAAAATAAGTTGAGTAATTTCTTAAAAGTACATAACCCAATATTTAAGCTGTGCCTCGGTGATATTATGAACAATATTGTTAGATATTTTTTATGAAGTGACATGTTAAGAAGATTGATGGATGGTACTTGATGAAGGGAAATCTGTTAGCCGAGGAAAACGAGGATATTGCATTTTTTTGCGGCTCAATACAATCCGTCTAAGTAAATTAGTTTTCTGAAGTAATCTATTTTGCCAGTTTACATTTTAAACACGAATAAGAGTTACACAAGGGGCTAAAACGGGACATTGTTTACGAGGTAGTTTCATTGGAGTTTTGGCGTATTCTAATTTCCATTTCGGTTGCGAAAACATAAAATTCGATCGGTGGTACTAGGTATTGTTTTAATTTACGGCATTATATTATAGTATTTAAATTTGAATACACTAATGTTTATGCTTTATACAATTTTATGACGCATTTTAGTATTATTTTACAATAGAAATGTATTTATTTAAAACTTTGTAACCATCATTGGTATTCTTATACTGTGTAGGATATTATTAGAAATACTTACGGACAAATACTGTAATACATTTTGATGATGCAGTACTGTATGCTGCACCATAAATACAATTCAGCAATTTCTGTTACTTGCCCAAATGTTTTATACGAGTCGGTATTATTTATCTCCTTTCAGTTGTTTCTATTTACGAGTATTTTATTTATATAACATAAATTTGCTATTGATAAAAAAAAACAAAACATCTTCAAATACATCACTCTTTGTTAAACGAAGCCCCTTCAACAGTAGAATATACAACCAAGTCGGAATCGCGCTCGTAAGATTCCGTACAATTTTGAAAAAAAGCTTTGAAAAAAAAATAGCTTTGAAAAAAAACAAAAAATGTTTATTTTTTTCCGTTTTTTAGTATTTGTTGCTACATACAGTGGCAACAGAAATGTGAAAATTCTCAACTGTTTAGTATCACGGTTCATGAGGTAGGTACAGCCTGAAGACAGACGGACAGATAGACGGATGGATGGACAGCGGAGTCTTATAGTCGTATGTGCACTCGTATCTACAGTCGAGAGAAGTAATTACTTGACAAAATGACTTAGCATAAGCAGATATTTTGAAATAATAGAAGAAAATTCGAATGAAATAAGAACTGTTCATAGCTAATATTCGTAATAATAGTAGAGCCGCTATTAACAGTGCTTACTATATTCAATTTTTTAATACTTTTACTCGACTATAGATACTGGTATCTGTAATGGCTTTTTATTTGGATACGGGTTCCTTTAAAAGGCCTTCTCAGCAAGCAGTGAGGGAAGAAGTGCAAATAAAACAATAGATTATGGGAAACATTCAAATATTTTATGATCAATGTCTGTTTACGCGGCTCAGTACAAGTGGAAATAATTATTATGTATGGGGGTACAAATCGGGTACACCTTGTGGGGCACAACAAGGAAAATGGGAAGCATTTGAGCACAAAGTAATTTTAAAATTATAAATAAGAAAAAAAAAACTATTTGCTAAAAATATTTGTGTTTATAAAAATATTTGTGTATATTATTTATTTATAATACATAATTTGTATTAAGTAGAATTTGTAATGCAATTTCCAGCCTTCTATCGACAAAAAAGGTCTGCGTTTAAACAGTGGAATAATAAAGTGAGGATGATAAGATACTGTCCATGAATTTGAATAAATGCACTATTGTGTGTTAACTGCCTAATTTTGACTGGTTAGTTGATTTGTAGTTAATTGAATGTTAATAGAAATTCTTTTTTGAATAGTCGCCAACCCTAATTCACAGATGTTTATATGCGGTTGCGGAATGCACCTGCGGTGGCGCCGACACGCCTTGGTTTTGCGTGCGATCTTGTAATAATGATTAACGTGACTATTATTAAATATATTAAAGGGACAAGGTAAACAAAAACAAATTCCTTTTTTTTGTGCTCTATCAAATGTAGCAAAAGTAAATAGTTCTCACAGCGAGGGACATTATGGGTGTGAAATAACCACTGATATCTTCAAAATAGCTTCCAGTGGCCACAAAATAGGTACTTTCAAAGATCGGTGTCGTAAATAAAAGTAAAAAAACTATAAACAGATAGATAAGTATAAAAAGAGGTCACAAAAACGTACTGAATATGGAGAACATCAAATACTCGTAACGTACGCACGGCCGCACGTCACTTCTCCCACCACCAATGTATGCAAACTTCTGTTAGTTAGTTAGTAAGTAAGTGATGACATCCGTAGCCGAGGTGGTTCGCACGCCGGTTTCAAGGTATCTCTGAGAGTTTGATTCCCGGTCGAGTTAGTGAAGAAAATGAACTTTTTGGTCGTGCGGGTGTTGTGGTACCTTTATTGTGTCAGATACTCTATAATAATAGGTCTGTAGCTACTCATCTTCAAATCTATACAATGTATAAAACAACTAGGATACCACAACACAGACCCAAGATAATATGGAAAAGTTAATTTTCTATATTCGCCCGACCGGGTTTCGAACCCGGGACCTCTAAAATATTAACATCTGGAAACTAGCGGGTCCACTCGACCGACTAATTATTAGATGAAAGAGGTGACTAATTATTTCTAATACATTAAATGCAGCCCACTATTTCTTATTTTAACTCGTACGAATTAAACAGATACCTATCTATTTGTTCTCGAATATAAATTTGGAAAATTCTCGCATCGTCTTATAATTTTGTTATTCCTTGAATACATCCATTGCTACATCCTACATTCATTGCATAGAAAATTACCGATAATGCGTTTCTTTGGAGTCGTAATAAATAGTTCTTCAGGTTTCATATTAATTCGTACGAGTAGTAACAAACATATATTATGAAACCAGTTTGACTCACTTAACTACTTCTAGACTCAAGTCAAGCTTAGGGCTTCCAATACCGCAATCTGTATTCAATCTCGGTATTTGTGGGACTATTGAATTTTAATCCCGCGGGATTCGTTCTGTGCGGGAACCCGAAATATCGAAAAAAATAACAAGAAATGTATGACTACTAAAATATAAACTAAAAACATTTTCAACTGAACGTTGACAAAAGTATATTCTGAATTTTAATTATATATTTTAGTTTGATCATTTGTTCGTCAGTATTATCCGTTAGGCACCGAGAGCTCTCGGCGACTATCGGAGCTTAGTGTCTTTCCAGTCCCGCAAATACTGCGGTTCCCGCATCCATTATCCCGCGACACGGGATTGGATAAAAAGTTGCGGGATCCCGCAATACCGTAGTCTCAGTATTCCAAGATTGCAAGCTCTAGTCAAGATGTATTTAACGTGTTCACTGCATTTAAGCGAACTGTAGTAGATGAATTAGTACACGGTTCTAGTTACGCAAGCATAACGTGATAATTATTTCTTTGGATCAAAGCGTGATTTTGTTGAATCTTGAGGTTTAATTTATAGATGTCAATCCGTATAGTGTGATAAGGCCAGACACCTGTGATTAACCAAATACTTACCTTCAGAATATCGCAAAGATAGTTAATGCAATAATGTGCGTGTAACATAATTTTCTTACGATTTCGTAATCGAAACAACCGTCCCAGGTTTAGTTAGAAAAAACAAGACGGGACGTTAAAAACGGGACGGTTGTGTTCAAAATGGGACGTTTGGTCATGTTACGCAAGGACCGCCCTAGCCACGCCATTTATAATTAGACAATGCTAATTTTGTTGTACAGTCAATAGCACGTCATGTCTTTGAAATCTTTCAAATTCCATTTTATTTTAACTTTAAACTTTAAGGATAAACTAAATAAAAACTAATTTTAATTTCGGTATATTTTAACGTTACTCATATGAATAAATAAAATATAATTCAACTCATGATATCATCATCATCCCTTTTACATCCCCACTGCAGAGGCTCAAGCCTTCTTTATGGATGGTTAAGGAGGATGAGCCATGAATCTTCACGCTGAGCCAATGCAGATTGGAGGGTATTAACGACTGCAAAAGCAGCCCGAACTAACGGATTAAAGTGCTTTCGGAAGCATGCTCTAGGTCTACATAATATTTGTTTCGCGTCTGACCCTTGCGACAGTTTCTTAACAACAATGATCGCTTGCCGCGCTTATCTTCTACGCCACCGGATACTCATGCACTCACTCATGCTATGCTATTCTGTAATTAAATCAACTTCAAACTCGACGCACTGTGTAACAGCACAGAGCTTTAAAGAAACAATAATAAATAATACCTTTATTACCTTTTGAAGTAGATTATTTTTGATTGAATCTCGACGTCAAGGACAATGCCGTCAGAGCATGGAGCTTCAACGCAATAAAAGTTCATAAACATATCAGCAATTAGGGTTGAACTTGAATGGGCACAGAGTTGTCATAGTATATATATTAAGAAAACCTACTTAGGTTTACATAATTGAACCTCCTTTTGAAGTCAAACAGTCTTTTGAAGTGAAAAGGTAAAACGAAGGTTTTATTTATTTGGAAAATTAACGCGTTTCTTCTAAACAACATATAAGCAGTAGCATAAAGAAAATTATCCTTTCATAATGGATAAAAGTACATATAATTTTCCCTATATGATACAGACGGAAGGATTGGCAGACACACGAGATATCCCAAAATAGTTCCATTTTGTCTTAAAAATATATACATAAACAGACTTAAATATGACTGCTACGTTGTACGCTCATTGACCTGAAATTCATTGATTTCTAAAATTATATTTTTTTATAACATATGCAGTAGTCGCCATAGGCCTTTGTGCTAATTTTATAATAACTGATGCGTGCTGGCTACGATAAGTCCGATTTAAAAATCAGTAGTCGTGTAGGAAATAGCTAAAATAGAAGAAAATAGTCAAATGTATTACATAGGCCAGGGATGGCGAACCAACGGCATGCGTGCCAAGATTCACGTGACAATCATTGGCACGCAACGCAGTATTTTAGGCGCGTCACTGATCACAAAATTTATTATGCTCTACTAAAAAAATGTGAAATGGGAGACAAAGACAATTTATCTATACTAATATTATAAATAGGAAAGATTTGATTGTTTGTTTGCATCGACTAGGCTCCGAAACGAGAGGGTACGGGTAGATACGTAACTCAATACACAGTAAGGCCTCCTGTGAGAGTGTAGACAGCCAGAGTGTAGACAAAAGAAACAGGGAGATAGACGAAAAGCAAGAAAAGAAGAGAAAATAATTAAAGGAAATGTAAAAACAAAAATAAGCAAATAAAAAAGAAATATACTCGTATGTAATGAAATGCTCAAATTAATTTCTAACAATGGTCTTATTATATGATTTCCGTTGTGAATATATTTCGACAACGAAGACTTATACGCTGCTGTCTTGGTTCTCAAACAACGAAGGCCAAAGGGAGCAAAACCCAGGTGGCCGCATAATCCGACATGTTGCTGTCCCGCCACCAGGAAGGTTCCTGGTCGACTCTTCCACCAAATGTTTAGGTTCCGAAAGAGAATGATTATCACAAGGACAGGCTTTTATAGGTGAAATGTGTAATCTATGAATGTAGCTTAAATATTCGCCGTGTCCAGTTAAGTACTGGGTGAGGTAGAAATTATATGGAGTCAAATTTCTCAACTCCTCCTCCTCGTCCTCCAAAGTGGGAAGGAAATCGCGTGCGAAGTCGCGGGAAAACAGCTGGTTATTAATTTTTTGTAATTGTATTATTATAAATGGGCAGTGATATCTCTATCCACATAGAGACTTCACAAAAGTTAAGACTATTTCCTATACTACGGCTAGGATAGGCTGCCGAGATTTTGGCAGTAACTCTACCTAGTCTATATTTTTTTCAATCTCTCACATTTTTTTCATAGTCTAACAGCCTTTTTGGAAGAGCAGATAAATCCAAGGGGGTATTCAGACCCTCTTTAAGCAGGTCGAAAATTGATATTATAAGTGCTCCGTACCCAAAGGATAAAAAACGGGACCCTATTATTAAGATTGCTCTGTCCGTCCGTGTGTCTGTCTGTCGTATCATAGTTGAACAGATGATGTATTGCTTGTACCTACTGCTATAACAACAAATAGGTGAAGAATAAAAACAATATTTAGGGGGGTTCCTATACAACAAACGTGTTGTTTGCTCTTTTCCTGATACCTTCCTCCGCGAGTCCGAATCGTACTGGACCGTTTTTATTTTAATGTAAATAAATGAATTTAGTAATATATTAGGCTGGATTCACCTTTGTTTTATATTAATAATAGATAGCTACATAGGAAAACACAAATTCGTCTGAGGCAAGATTCAAATCATTTGCAGCATTCACATTTGACCTGATGCTATAAATGTTTTCCAAAATGGTTCACTAATTTGATCACTGGTTTGGTTCACGCTTGAGGTAAAATGTTCACGCTTGAGATAAAGATATCGAGGTATCTACCGATTAATTGACAGTAAAATTGTTCTAATTTCAGTGAAATTATAATAAAAGATAATGAGAAACTGTATTTTAAGTCTATTTTGTACTAGTTTTACTTACGTTTTATCTATGAATAAGAAAATCCGGAACGCTTGAGTGCAGAAGATCGTATAACAATTGATTAACTTAAAAATTGTCGATCACATAACACTATCACTTTTATAATTTGTCACAGATCACTTTCGTATAACACATAAAACAACGTTGATTTAAGGTAACAGGGTGTTATCTATTAGGTGGACATTGCACGCAGCGGTGTATTAGTTAAATGGCCGCGCGCGCGGGCTTGACCACGCAATTTAAGGTCGCTAGCACCTATCGACCTTCGCAGGTAATTCAGCCTTAGATATAAATTTTATATAAATTGATCTATTTAGTGCGTACCTAATGAATGTAACACCATAGACCGAGGTTATTATGCCATGAAATTTATGTACATTCGATGGAATTTTTTATTACGAAATAATAAGTTGCTTTAATATGTTTCCAATAATTTTTCTGTATAATTTGAGTGACCTACCAAGGTATGTACATACTAGCATTTTTCGTTTTTGTAGTAGATACTTAATACATATAATATGTCACTGTGAAATATGAGATTTGTGGTAGCTTGGTATACATCCCTGTGTTGTTCAAAAACCTTCTATATAAATATTTTATAAATGAGATTCAGCTGTTATTATTAAATTCTTTATTAATTCTTGCATACTATTTTTAGTGGACTCTCTCACAGAAACTGCACAGTGAAATCTCTATAAAAATTAGGCATCCTTTCTTTATGGCTTTGCTGTCGTAAATTTTATAATAGTCCTTTGTTCACGTTTCAAATGCAACATTGTAGTATGTTAGTCGCAAACAAACGCAGTTGTTAAATTGTCGCTGGTCTTAAATTATACCACTTTTAATAACGTTAGGGTTATAATACCCTATAATATGGGTGCGGCGATGAGTAAAAAGTGTGGTGGTGAAAACTGGAGCAGAGTGTGATAACCGATAAAAGTGGTATATTATTTTATGGTACCTTTGCTTCCAATTTGCTTTATTGGTCAGTCTTTTCCAGTTTCTTTGGCATCTGAAGTGAATAAATATTGTTTCTTAACGATACATAATGAAAGTCTCTCCGGGTCAAACTAAATTTCATTATTCCAATGACTTTTATTTTTACAAATATAATTATTGCGTTTATATATTACAATCGAAATATATTAGAATATATATATTTAGTTCATATAGTATTTAACGATAACTCGAATCATAAATAATAATGCATTAGCTACTTGGGAGCTGCTCGTAAAAATATTAGTTTTTTTTTTCTATAAAAAGTGATGTACACAATTTTAATATATGAAATAAAAATAAATTACAGTGCCTGTCACTTGACTGCAAAAAGTTAAAAACTCATTCAGGGGTCTTTGTGTGCGCTTATACAATAAGGTCCCAAGCAAAATACAACAATAAGATATCATACAGTTTAAATCTACTATTAAAAAATACTTATTAAAAAACTTATTATAAGGTATCCGATTATATAACAGATAAGAATGCTTGGACTTAAGATGGTCCAGCAACTGGACAGCTGATTTCTTCTAAACTCAATTAAGTATATCTCAAAAATTATCTTGTTGCCGTTATTATTAAATTATTATGTTATCATTATAAGACCATCGTTTTTTTCTTTCTATTCTTAATGTATATATAGGAAATTCGTTAAAGAATAAATTAGCAAGTAATTTCAGTATTTCATTTTAGGTATACTATTTCATTAATGGGGTTCTTGCCGGATGTCGTGTCCTTCTCCCCTGAAGGGTATTCGCAGCGGCTAGGCCGGCCTCGCTTAAAGCTTGTCCTTTTTAGGACGGGATTGGAGAACCCTAGTTTAAGGCTTAAGATTATTACCCCTACGTTATAAATAAAGTATGATAATTCATATTTTGTTACTTTCTTCTATTAGTAGGGATAAAATTTTATAAGCAGTTTATCAGGATATTAACTTTAAAACAGATGCCGTGAAAGAGCACATCCATATATTCTTTAATTAGTGCATTGTGGTAGACCCTGAGTGGGCATAATGTTGAAGAGAAATTAAGATAAAATCGCTGAGGCACAATGTGCGTGACATAGATAGAGACAGACGATAGCATATTTCGCGAACAAGGAGCCAAAAATATTATCAAAGTTGGGCTTTAAAATGATAAAATTACACGAAGAAAGAACCGGTTACCAATTAGGTTGAGACAATTGTGCTAATATTACTCGTACGAATTAACATGATACATGAGAGCCTAATCTATTTGTCTTCGAACGAAAATTCGGAAAATATCTAATCGTTCTTTTAATTTCGTTTAAATCATATTCGCGAATATCATGTGTATCGGAGGCATTGTCATCTCAGGTTCTATCACCGTTGATCCATAAATTATCGAAAAATGTGTTTCTTTAGAGTCGTATTAGCATTTCGAAAATTCACGGAATTTTGTATTCTAATGTCAGGTTCATTTGTACGAATAGTACATACATATAATTTCCTTATCAGTATCTGGCTAGCTATATCATGTATTTTTCTAATTTCGAACTATAGGTTTATTTTATTGGCCGCAATGATACTATTCTGTCTCGAAACCGATATCAAGTATAATAACGCTATCACAGCATGGAGGTTCAATGAAATAATCTATATCAAAAGGTAATAAATATTTAATATCACTCAAGCTCTATGCTGTGACATCGCTGTGCTCCACGTCTTGTTTGAGGCAGATTTTATCGTCAAAGTACTGCTCATTTCATTTTCAACAATTTTTAACTCTCCTTAAAACTACTTTGCAACCGCGTACGATGAAGCTTCTCCGTAGGTAAAATAATTTCCATGATCTGATCAGTATTTGCAAAGATTACTCCAAACAAACAAAGTTAGGAACTTAATCTCATATAATATTAAATAAGATATAAAAAAATAAATAAGTATGGATAGAAATAAACTAAATAGTTCCAGCCGTTTCACTTGATAACATACTTAGCTTATATGAGTAGATTTGATGATGCCCTCGGTGTTATTTGTTATTTGCATTGAATTGTCGGTAAGGGTAATTATAACCTATATCACCAGCGTATGACGTAGCTTGTAGGTGAAAGAATTTTAAAAATAAATTCAGTAGTTTTTGAGCCCATATAATGCAAAATTATATCTTTTCTATATATAATATAAGTATAGCTTACTTAGTGTAATCCGTCATATATTAGACTTTCAAACCATTAATTCACAAATAGATCACTAGATTGATTTGGATTTGTAATACTTTGAAGGGAGCATGTCAGTTGTACCAGTTTCTTAGATGTTGTAACATTAGAATAACAGAATTATTAATTTAATGTAACAGCAGTTATCTGAGCCTTGAACTTGCAGTATGTGTGTCAATCGCTGTTTAAAACACAAACAAGTTTTCAATAGTATTTCTTTTTTATTTATCCATTGATCGTGCTTTTTAACTATAATGTTGTTTCTGTTTGTCCATCGCGTTTATTTTAATTTATTTACATCTATATTTAGATAAATAGGTGTCCGGTTGAATTAAACTCTCTGAAAGCCAGATTTTAATTTATATTTAGAGCCTATGTCATCACCGTGTGTAGCTTTTAGTCTAGTAAAACTATCAAATTACGTAGGCGGGGTGATAAATAGCTAGCCCAACTCATATTTTGTATAATAACTATATAAAATCTCCTTAGTATTTTAGTCATTGGTTCATAAGCTGCCAGTGTTCCAAATTTCAAATCGATCGTGTAGTTTTTCTTTTAAATATTGACATTTCTAAAAGCATTCTTTTGTTTTTTTTTGCAAAATTGATAAAATTAAGCTACGAGCTGTGATAATTTTTTTGCATTTAAAAGGATTAAAAGGTGGAGAGAGTTTTCGGAGATGAAGGATGTTTTGGAAGAAAATGCTCCTTCATATGCGACCATAAAAAATTGGGCTGAATTTAAACCAGCACCCAAGATGAACATCGTCCAGGACGTCCAAAAAGTGCCACTACTCCAGAAATTGTGATCAAAATTAATGATGCACTTTTAGCTGACCGAAGATTGAAACTTTCCGAGATAGCTGATACTGTAGGTATCTCTAAAGAACGGGCGCATTACATTTTGACTCAAGAGTTATGTATGAAAAAATTATCCGCAAGGTGGGTGCCGCGATTGCTTACAGTTGACCAAAAACGCGTTCACAAGAATGTTTGGACCGCTTTAAGAGCAATACAACTGATTTTCTGCGACGGTTTGTTACCACAGACGAGACTTGGGTTCACCACTATACCTGAATCAAAAATTCAGTCTAAACAATGGACGGAAAAAGGATCTCCGGCTCCAAAGAAAGCAAAAGCCGTGAAATCAGCGGGGAAAGTCATGACGTCAGTATTTTGGGATACGAAGGGTATATTGATGATACCTTCCAAAAGGACAAAACATAAATGCCGAATATTATGCTGATCTACTGCATAAATTACAAGTGTGTATTCGTGAAAAAAGACCCGGCCTGGCAAAAAAAAAAATCTTTCATCAGGATAATGCGCGTGTTCACACGTGCATCACTGCGATGGCGAAATTAAAAGATTAAATTATGATTTGTTACCACACCCAGCTTATTCTCCTGATCTGGCACCATCTGACTTTCATCTATTCCCTAAACTCAAAAATTTTTCGAGCTTAGGGAATAGATTATTCTAATCTTTGTCCTAGGCTTTGTCAAATCTTTGTCCTAGGTGGACAAAGATTTGAAAATAATAGCGAGGTGATGTCTGCCGTGGACAGTTATTTTGAAGGGCTTGAAGAAAACCACTTCAGGGATGGCATCAAGGCTTTAGAGCATAGATGGATGAAGTGCATAGCGCTTCAAGGAGACTATGTCGAAAAATAAATATACTTTTAACACAGTAATTCAAGTTTTTCTATGCTAGCTATTTATCATCCCGCCCTCGTAGTATAGACGTCTAACTTCATATTGTGCACAGAAACAACTATACCCTGTGTAATTTTACTATACTTTTACTAAATATACAGTTCTAAATATTATATATTAGTAACGTAAAATTGACATTAATATAAAGACAGATATACTTTATAATGGAATAGCATTAGCAATTTAAGTGCATTTTCCTCGTCAAGAATTCCTGTGGACCGATTAATGGAACAATAAATAAATATTAGACAATATCACATAACTACATTTAAACATATTTTTATGGCTCTTTCATTACATATACTAAAGTAACTGTTGAAATAGGC